AAATATACTAACATGTTAGCAGTGTAACAATATTTAAATACAGGCGTAACAGCCGCGACTTAATATGCCAGTTAAATACATCTATAATCACAACGGCGAATACACGACGGAAAACATGCAATCTACCGAATACAGACAGAAGCTAACTACAAAATAACTGTCCGAATTACATATATCACCAGTAGCTTGGAAAACTACAAAAATAATTTCAATATATTTACTTTACATTGTAAATCACTTTTAGTTTGTAAGAGTTGCCTTTTATTGTGCTTGTGAATCACAGAGGTGACAACTATTACTGTGATGCCACGGCCAGAGCTCGTTTATTCTGAACTGCGCATGCCCAGAGCCAGAAACTACAACCTCCCCAGCAGACCAACAGTGGCACGATAGTGCCCTATATTATATAAAACAAATAGAAAAGAAGTTAAACCTGAAGTATGTGCCTTTAAAAAAAAGTTTTTTGTTTGTTTTTTCTTTTTACATATTCATTAAAACTGTCGTGACAGTATGGTGAATATACTATATTCACCGGTATATTCTTGATTTTATTTTTCTGTAGAAAAATAAAATCGAGCTCCTGTGCCTTCTCCCAGTGCAAACACACAAAATACACAGCTGAGTCAGAAACAACCAATCAGAGTCAGGAGGGGGGACTTAGTGCTGTCAGTAATTCTTGTGTATGCCACTCACACCAACAGCAGAGCCTGTCATGACTCCTTAGGCTAATTAGCAAGGCCACTAATCACAGCAGATAAACACTTGTCTTGGGAAAACAACGTTGGTGGAGAATGCTAGATATTGAGCTCAGTGTGCTAGCTCTATAGCTAGCACATTGAGCAGCATGTACAAGAGCATGATTGACAGTGCTTATCCTTAGCCTTCCCCCTGAGTCTGATCTATTAGTAACATGCAGACCTAATCACACTTTTAAGAACATATGCTGAGTCAGCCAGTTGATATGGTTGTCCTGCTTCACTTCAGCTTGATCTCATTGATTCAGGCCTGCATACAGCTTCAACACATACAGCCAATTCACATGAAGGCTTTTTCTTACATATTTTATTTCAAAATTTCATGTTTTTAAAGCCTCTAATTTCCAGAGTTGTCAATCCTTGTAACCTTTTATGAGGTATAAATATAAACATAAACTTTCAATACAGAACCTGTAAAAAATATAAAATAAAATAAACAGATTGATTATGTGATAGATGGATGAATACATAAACACATTCTTATCCACACCTGAAACGTATTACTTTGCCAAACTGAGACGAAACCCTGAACATAATAAACTTTTTCCAAGTGGAGCTCAACAAAAAACTCGTTACAAAGGCATTATTAACATTTATTTATCCCTACAAGTGTGTTTTTAATTATCTAAAAACACACTTGTATGAGCTCAGTAATCCATATTTAGCTAAAATGAGAGTAGACACAAAAGGTACAATTGAAGAGAGAAAGCGAATATCACCACAGCTGTCATTGTGTTTTATTGTACTTACTTGTTAGATAGGATCTTTTCCTGCCGGAGCAGCAGCTCCTGGAGCTCCTCTAAGCTGTGGCTCCTCAGGTCTCCAACCTGTCCCTGCCGCTCTGTCGACGGTGAGGACATCGCTGCTCTTAGCTACTGACAGCCATTCGCTAACAGCGGCAGCTCCGGTTGAAAAGTCAACATCAACATGTACCAAATCTAAAAAAAAAAAAACAGCTACTAAAATACAGATTCTTAATCATTAAAAAGACCTAAAAACTTCCAGAGACGGAGGTTTCACTCCAAAGCACACACGACCCAATAGTATTTGAAAGTAGAGTCCGTTTTCTACTTCGTTTGAGGAAGTGAAATGTCACAAACTGCGCTCTATCGCCCCCACCGTTAGACATTCATAAGTAGGTCGTTTCCATGGAAGCAAAAGAAGCGTATTTGCTGCCCTCTTCCGGTCAAATTTGGTTAACAGCACCACCATTGAGATTTTATGGATGATTTTATGCAATATTCGCGTTTTTTTCAGGCATAGTGGCACTGATATACAACTATTTTTATCTTATTGTATTACAAATGATGTGTTCTATTGTTTCAAAATTGTTTCTCTATTGTTTCAAATTAATTTCTTCATTACACTTGCATTTTGAAAACAACAAAACAAAAAGAAAACTCTTTGAACTGGTCTAATTTTTTTCCTCTATGAAAGTAAGATGTTTTCCTTTATTCCAAATGTTATGACAGTTAAATATTTCTTGTCTATTATTTCCAAAAGTGGAACTCATACATTATATCAATTTATTACTGTCAGTGAAATACTTCAAGTCTTTTATTTATTTATGATTGTGGCATACAGATGTCGTGGGCTGCACAGTCATTGAGAAGACTGGTAACTGGACAGATGTCCAGAAGACTGTCATTATGACTGAGGAAATGCCAAAAAAACGTTGTTAAAAGGTCAACAGGATTCAATTGTAAAAATGTGTCACGTACTTAAAGATCTCACAGAGAAGGTATTATCTCTCAACCAAAAATGATACGCAATAAAGGTAGAATATGCTCTGATTTGATGACACCAAAACTGAACTTTCTGTCCTACATTCAAACTAAAACCAGCCAACAAAATCACAGACCAAGCCGTCCTCTCAGTGAAACATGGTGGTGGAGAAACAATGCTGTAAGGATGTTTTTGTTAAGAGTTAATGGGAAGATGACTGGAGCAAAAACAGGACAATCTTGGAAGGAAATCTGTTAAAAATTTTAAAAAGGTCTGTGGTGAAGGTTGTACTTCTAACAGGAAAATGAAAATAAACATAAAGCCTGAGCTACAATGAATACAGTAGATCAGAGGATATTATGTGATTTTTCTTCACTGTTGCACTACCTTGTGTTTGTCCTGTTGAAACACTGCGGTTTGTTGATATGTGATAAAATGCAATCCCACTGCAGGTTGTAAAATATCTCATATGTTCAGAGGAATGTTGGTGTTTAGATATTTCTCGTTGGCTGACCACCAGTGAAACCAGTCTGAACTTTTCCAGCTTCGCAGCCTCAGATTTTCCACAGCTGCATTTCCTGTCCGGATGTTTTCCAACCACTGAACCAAACCATTTCTCATTTAGCTCAGCAGACAATGGCCCACACTTTAACCGAGAAGTTGCAGCTGTGTCCCTCACAGCCAGTGTCAAAGGTCAAAATCTGTTGAAATGAAGTTTTTTTTTTCTTATATTCTCACACGGCTGCAAAGTTTAAAAAAAAAAAAAAAAACAGCAGACTTTATTTCTATTATGTATTTACAAAATTCAGTACCAATATGTTTATTAATGAAATTATAAATCCTACTGTGTAGTTTAAAACATTGATGCTCCCCCCATCCAGTCAACCAGATTTTGATTCAAATTTCTCTCAGGCTATCTGGATTCTTTTTGATGAAATCTTGAAGTCTGGATTTATTAATTTATTTACACACACTTCCTTCCTGTGAGAACCGTGCAGTTGGTTTATTTGTGTAAATAAGCATTTAAATCACTTCCAAAATGTTTTTTTTTTCTGTCCACATTTTACGTATTTTTGACACAACCTTTTTTAAGTCATCTATAAAAGTACTCTCAGTCACAATCAGTCTGTTATGGCACAGAAGGTGGAAAGCAATGCTTGTGGCTCAGTAATGGCAGTAACTTTATTATCAACAAAAGCACAACTGCAAATTCTTAGTACTCAAAATGTCCAATAACCCTGTTGTCAATACAGATATTTATTCCCATCACCAATATGAGACAGTAGGATATGTACACAAAGGCACAATGCAAGTTAATAAATATTATTTACAGGGCATGAACAACAGCAAAATATGTCATTTAATATATACAAATAAAAAACATTTAGAAATACCAACAATAACCATATCAATCCCTAACCAGGACAGATATTTTTAGCTCAGTAAGCGTGGAAAATGGGCTACATCTGCTGTATATAAAAAGACAATAAAAAAATTAATTCAGTTTATTACACCCCACTGAGAGCAACATGTGTTATTACAAAAGCTGCTGACTTCATACATCATCAATAACACTCTTTTCCATCATGCCTGGCAGAGGCAGTAAGATGATTTTAACTTTCACCATTGTGATCAAAAATCAGAAAAAGTGAAAATAGTTCACCAGGGGAAACAAAGAACGTGTTTCATAAACTTCATTTTTACTTGTGCAAATCTGTTTTGAAAAGCTTTATCCATGGTAAATGAGAACAATAAACAGGACATTTTCATTTTAAATCCAAGTGAATTACAGTTAAGCCCACAGGTGTCCATACTCCAGACGGATTTGGATTTAAAGTTAATGTAATTTAAACCAGAAGTTTGTTTCCAGTTGGAAAACACTTTAAGAAGAGTATTAATCTAAAAATAAAAGTTTCTATTTACATTTATTTGAAAAACGGCACAATGAAATGATCAATACCATTTCCAATAATTAATAGAAAAGCTTTTTATGACAATACAAAACTTTTTATAATTACTGAGCAGGTTTGTGCATGTCTTCACTGGTACTTGGACAATGTTTAAGTTTGTGTTTTTAAGGTTGCAAGGCCTCCCAGACTCAAGTCCCACACTCAGGTGAAAGCTCAGACTTTGACTGGGCCACTGCAAAACATTACTTATTGTCAGAAGAAACATGATGGAACAAGTAAAGGTCACTTCAAATATAAATCTGCCACTGAGGTAGAGCTGGATATTTAATCAATAACAATATATATCACAGCCCACATGATCAATATTAACAGATTATGAATCTGATAGAATATTCAATATTCAATAAATAGAATATTCACTGAACTCAGAGCCAGAACCGCACAGCATTCTGGGAGATGTATTTAGAAGAAAGGTTTTAGCCACTCTTTGGTCACCTAGCAACACATTCCTTCTTTGGTCACCTAGCAACGACCTGTTGAGTAACTTAAGCAGCAGCAGTTTAAGGTTTCGCCGCTCAAACTGCTGAAAAAAACAAACAACATGGAGTGAAAACTGAGAGTAAAACAGGAAAGGTCCTGCCACCAATTTGGCAATATTTTAGATATTTAAAACAAAAATATAAAACGCTCAAGTTTTTCAGCTACATTCGTCCAGCCCTACGCTGAGGGATGTGAACAACTTTGGGCTCAACTGTAAATGACCCGACTCAGAAAGTTGCATATTTTCTCCTGAAGGCGTCTACAAGATCTGATAAACCAGAAAAAATAAAAAAAAAGAGAGCAAAATAAATGTAATTATTTAGAGCTTCCCAAACGTCGAACCCTGTAAATCAATCAGTGCTTATCCTTCAGGTTGTGTCCAATCAGTTTCATGAAGGGTGAGGAAACCCGTAGCCTAGATCTCGGCCGAGAAGACAAGGTGGAAGACGTGACCTGCGCTTTGGTTTGAGTAGCAGTGTCTGCTTTCGGCTCTGCATCCACCTCGTCTCTCCTGGACGGGACCGGACCCTCAACGGGGTCGGACTCAGAGGACACACCGTTCATCGCCGGGTTGCTGGACTGCAGGTACTGGCTGTACTGACCAGGAGAGTACTTCAACAAACTGGTCTCCAGCCTGCTGGGTGGAGGGTTAGTCGAACTGTATGTCTGAGGCTGGATGGGCTTTGTTAGTCTGAACGACGGGTACTGGAGGGACGACAGGTAGGAAGGCCGTGAAGACGATGGAGCCCACGGTGTGGGCGATGATGGAGGTTCTGTCGGTGACAGAGGTTGAGTGGGTGATGATGGGTTAACTGGTGATGAAGGTTGGACACGTGGTGTAGGTGATGAAGGTGGGGTGGAATGAAGATGGACAGATTCAACATCGTGCTTCTGCACTTCATGTCTGTAGTCACATGAAGTAACGTGAGAATTAGAAACCAGTTTGGACCGAAGCACCAAACACAATCCGGGCGCCGATCCAGGCGCCCACTCCTACCTGGGGAGCAGATCGCAGCCTATTCCTACGTCTCGTCTTTCCAAAATCTCTTGAGGCCTATTCTGTGTGGACATAAAATACTTCAGCTTGTCTTCTAATTCATTATTCTAGGAAAAGGGAAACAGGAAACAGCACCATCAGGTCAGCATCATGCAAAGGACGGCAGTCACTTTACATGGAAAAAAGACGATTTGACAGGGGAAGTGGAAAACACACACACTCACACACACACACACACACACATCGCCGAAAGACCGGGATATCCTGCGCTCATCAAATCATCTGTAGCCATGCAGAAGGAAGCCACACCTTAATTTAAACACTCTTTATTCCTCACAGCCTTACCTCACACTCCACTATAGCGATTCTGTCAAGAAGCTCTGAAATGAACATGTCCTTCTGAGCAACCTGAGCGCGCAGAGACTCAACCTGCACAGAACAGCACAGTTAGACACTCCCAATGCTCGGCAGGGGTTTCTAGATTTAAAACTTAACCTTCTTTGAACATTATTTAAAATCTGGCATGAATTCCTGACAGCTTTAACCTCTGACCTGTAGCTATAGCTGACCCCGTGACATTGTTTGAATAATTTGATTGTTTTTTTGGACGCCTTTAATCTCACTTATGCAGAAAGGTTTGCTTTAGTTCTTGATGAAACAAGAAATCTTTCTCATTTTAACAAGATTTTAAGAGGTTTATGTCTCATTAAAACCAAACTATCTCCACTTTTGAGTAAGAAAGGCATAACAATAAAACAGCAACACCTGCTGGGATATACAGAAGGAGAGAAGGAGAATGTATGCCTTTTTAAAAAGTCGTAATCTGTCAGAGGAGCATATTTTATCTGTTAGAATGAAACATAAAACTTAACTCGTTAAAACAGGATCGTTTTTCACCCCCGTTAAACAAGATGCTGCTCCTGAATTTATTTCAAAGCTCTGGCATTGAAGCACATTTCCAGAGCTCTAGAAGGCAACTAATAACCTTAAAAGTAGAAAACACTTTATATTTCCTTCAGAGGAAGTTGAATTAAGGTGCAGATTTTCTGATGCACAAAAGCCACAGACTAGACCAGGGTTGGATTCTCTTGGATTTACATCAAACTTTTTGGCACAGATCAGCAAAGTGAAACTGAACGGGTGTACCTAATAAAGTGTCAGGCGAGTGTTTTTGTTTTCTATGCCTTGTTCTCAGCAGAAAGAGGATCTGAAAGCCTTTTTATGGACTGTAATTAAAGTGACAAGAGGTCTTTCTCACTTCCTCGATCATTGCCTTGACCTTCCTCTGCTGGCAGAACACCATGTCATTCAAGTGCTTGATTCGCTCTCGCAGATCCACGGCTTCTTCCTGCAGCTGCTTCGACCTGAAGCAAACATCGAGGATTTGTGATTATTTTTTTCCAAGTTTGATGTTTTGGAGAAAAATCTGAAAATGGTTGAGACTGAAGAAGAGGAGGAGTTTAATTAGTACTTTTTGGCTACGGCCGCATCCGTTTTGTCCGTCAGCTCTAGCAAACGGATCCGCTGTTCGCACTCCTGCAGCTTCTGCTGGAGTTGGCTCTTCTCCTGTATAACATGTTAGGTTTCGTGTTGAAAAAGACTTTAAAAAGAAACCAAACCCAAAACCGCGCCTCATCAGAAAGCTGCCTTACCATCCCCATGCAGCTCAGGAGACGCTCTACCTCGACGATCCGCTCGTCTCGCTCAGCAATCTTGGCCTCTGCAGTCGTGAGGTTCCTCTCTGCTTCCTCCAGCCGCCGGATGTATTCGTCCAGCTGGGCCTGTGTGAGCAGAAACCCTGCTGATGCTCTGCTCGTGTGATTTGATCGTCATTAGAAACCAGCAAAATGTGATAAAAATCTAAGCATTTGAAGCATCTGGAGTAAACATCACTGAGCTGGTGGTAAAGGGTTTTCCCCTCTTATCTGTGAAAACAGACCTTGGTGAGCATAAGCAGCAAAGAATGCAAACCTGTAGGTTTTCTATCTCTTCCCTGTGTTTCTGTTGTTCGCTCTGCAGCTTTTCCTCGTACTCTCTCTGGAGCTTTGCGGTGAGATCCTGCACGGCGCGGGTGTTTGCCTCCTGTGAAGACTCCACCTGGACAACCCAAAGCACAGCACATTTAAGACCGCTCTCAGCAGACGGGAACATATTGGAGCTGCACTGGGAGAAGCAGATAGAGCTCAAATCTCAGCTCTGTTGTGCAGAAAAATACTGCAAGCAGAGGTCTGGGGAGTTATTTTGATGATGGGTTTGATTTTCTGATAAACTCATGCAGAGAAGCTCCACATGTGAAGCGTCTGTGTGTTTGGCAGCTGGCATGCGGCCTCTCATCAGCTTCGCACATCAGCTGCAGCAGATGTTTGCAGATCTTTGGACATGGTGGATTTGCAGGATCACCTGAAGTCTGAGCGTTTGGTTCTCAGCCTGCGCTGCGGCCAGCTCCCGCTCCTTGTCCCTGAGCTTTTCTTCAGTTTTCTCCTTTGCGCTCCGCAAAGTCTTCACCTCGTCTTTCATGTCCACTCTGTTCTGACAGTTCTCCAAAAGGGATTTCTGAGAAAGGAAAAAAAAACACATATGGTTTCTGTACCGGCATGCAGCTGTCAAATAAATACAAATCCTCACATGATTTGCTACCTGCAGGCTGATGTTTGCAGATATGAGGGAGGTGTTCATCTGATCAAAGTTCTCCATGGCTGCGCTACGAACCTTCACCTCAGACTCCAAAGTTTTCCGGTGGGCGTTGGCAGCCTGGAGAGACGCAGGCGTTTTTATTATTGTTCAAGAGTTTGATCAGTTTAATAACGTGTTTCTGTTATGATCCTTTACCCTGATTTCTCGTGAAAGCTTCTCCATGGATTGCTGCATCCCTCCAAACTGCCCATACATCCGTTCTCTCACTTTTTCCAGAGAGTCCCTCACCTGTTTGCAGAAACCAAGAGCATACCGACGTTACCAGCACAGAAACCTAAACTCCCTCGACCTGGCGAAGTGAAGGCCGCTCCGCTTCTGTCCACTCACCTCCCGGATGTACCTCATCTCGTCATGAAGGTGGTCGACGGACCACTCGCGTGCCATCAGCTCCTGCCGCCTGTCCGTGCTCGTCCTCTGCACTACGCCGTACACCTTGGGCCCATGATGCTGCGCCGAGGTCGCCGGCGCCCCATTGGTTGTGTCTCTGAGGTGCTGAGGGAGACAGGATCACAGCGGTCAGGTTTCTGCCCCCAACCTCCACTCAGGCTGACTTCTGCCGTCTTTGAACTCAGGGTTTGATGTGAGGACATGCACACTTTCAGGTTTACGTGTCTGCATTTGGATGCACATATGTGTGTGTGTGCGTGTGTGTGTGTGTGTGTGTGTGTGTGTGTGTGTGTGTGTGTGTGCTTGATTAGGCGTTTGCAGCACTGCTGCTGGTGAGAAACAGCAGGCTGGTAACAAGCAGCTAAAAGGGGTGCAGAGCAGAGTGCACAGGCGGTGTCAGGTTTCTGCAACCCAGAACATGAGCTTCTGCCGTTTCTGCCTATTGTCCCTCGATCAGCCAATGAAAACAGACGCACAGGCCCAGCATGGCGCTGGGACGTCGACATAACTAAATAACAATAGTGATTGGTGCAGATAAATTACCAAACTTTGAGTCAGATCAGGTTTCAATGAATATTTTATAGGATGTTTGAAAGAGAAATTGGTTTGGGACTCATAGTCCTTTAAACAGAGCGAAGTCCAAAACGCAAAAAATAATAATAATAAAAATCACAGTAGAGAGCAATTAAACATTCTTACTTAAATGCAATATTCTACTGTAAGTTGTTATTTGCTCTTATTGGATTTAGTGCAGTCATATTCATTAACATTCATTCTGCAACACTTGCAGATTTTGTAGAGCAACAGCATCACTAATTTATTGTTTGATTAAAAATGGCCACCAACCCGGGGCAAAGATCAGAACTCATTTTCCTCCAAAATAATCTCTGGAGTTTTGTTTGTTGGCAGGAATAGGAGCCAAAAAGCCACCAGACAAGAACTCTGGTGTTTATTTAGCACAGAAAAGACAAAGATTAATCACATAAAGCTGCCTGCACTTATCATTTTAGGAATTTAGAAAGAGGTTTTCTGTGTTTTAAGAATTGTTTGGCAAAGGATCCAATGGGCCAATGTCTGAAGTTTAAAGTTATTTTGCAGTATAGTTATCATTTCATCCTTTTTTTAGTAATTTTGTTCCATTATGCAATATATGAAACAACTATTCATTAACAATTAAACGTTTAATCTCCTCTAAAGAGGATGCCGTATCTCAGGTATTTAAATGATAACATACCCTAACCCAAACTTTAGATTCCTTCACAATAAAAGGAGACACTAAACAAACACAAACATCTTTGCTTCTTCAGGTAGAGGAACTAATTTCAAAATAAACAAAAGCAACACAGATAAGAGCACCAATATGTAAAGTAGATCCAAATTTAATTAACTCTCTGGGCATTTTTAACTAAATCGTGTTCCAGAGGCAGATGTTCCATTAAAACACGATTTCATTTGTTGCTTTTCTGACGTCCTGTAACAACAACAGAGCTGCTGAATGAATCTCCACGGTCTTCCAGTGTGAACAGAAATGAACTGCTACAGTCGTCTATTGTCGGATGGGAAGATATTAATGACATCCTGAGAGTCGAGAGGAGAAATGTGTTTGTAGGGCAACAGCAACCTGAGTCTCTGTGGCTTTCGTTGTGTCTACCTGCTGAGGCGCCTCCATGCCAGCCGGCCGCTCTCTGTGGATCAGACCGTTCTTCTTCTTCCATGTTTCCTTGACGTGATTTTCCGCCTGTGGACAGAGCAAAACTAAATTAAAGACTGACTCTGTGGGCGATTTCTCATAGGCTTTGTGAAAACACAAAGTTTGCACAAACTTCTGAGCAAAATTGACTTTTGTCATGACTCTTACAGGAAGCAAATGTTTATGCTGTCATTAAATGTCACCTCTAGCTGTTGTTTATGTTTGCTAGGTTGTGTTTATTGTTTAGATTGCATCAAGAAATGTCATAATATGCTGAAAATATCCTTATAATTTGAACTTCACAACAAAAAGTAAGCAAAATAACCCACAATAATCCAAATGATTCGATCATGACTGATTGTGATCTTCATTTTGGTCTTCTCTGCATAATCTGAACGTTATTCCACCAAACTACACAAAGCTGCAACGTTGCACTTTATACCTTCATTATGCAACTCAGCCTGAGAAAGATGCTTTCACAACCAGACCACAAGCAAATAAACTCTGGGACTCAATGGTGCAGGATGTAACCATCAAGTTGTATTTGTCCTGATGGTCTGTCATAACGTCTGCATGTGTTTCTGTGGAGGAGCCGTTTTTGTCCCTGCAGTTTAAATTGAATAAATATTTGGAGCTCTGTTTGCAGATAGGGCAGCATTAGATCAGAGATGGAGCAAGAAGATCATCTCAGTTCATGAACCATGTTTGTAAAACTTCTGAACCCAATAATCTGGTGATTGTCCACCAAAATCCTGGATCAGCGTCCGTCTGTTTTCACTCAAAATGTTAAACATACTTTCTGTCGTATTCATTTCATGCCTTAATGACGGTAACGTCTCCTTCAGTCCAGCGAGCAAACTGGCACCAGTTATTTCTCCACTTCAGTAGCTGATTTGTCCATCTATTGGGATTAAATTTAAAGAAAATAAATCTGAATGTCCAAAGAAAATGGACATTCAGTGACTGAAATTGGTCAAAAAATACAATTATTCTTTCCTTAATTTAACTTTTATATATAGAGAAGATTTTATGATCAGTTTATGTTTGAATTCACTTTATTTTTTTAATAATTTAGTATGTTTATTGTCCTGTTTCCTTCCCTACCTCTGCATGTTTCTCCTTTTGTTGCACATTGGCACAATAAATCCTGTATTTCATTTCTATTTTGCTTTATTTTGACATTTATCATTTTATTCACTCAACCCAGAGCAGGAACTAGTAGAAACTTCCAGAGAAAGTCCTATTAGTTAATCTAGAGAAACTTCTCACTCAACATCTAGCATTAAACTTTTAATATAAGTTTAACAAACCTGGAGAAACTCCTGTTAGTTTACAAATTACAACAAACTTAGAAAGTACCATCTAGTTTTGTCAGAACAAGAATCCAGAGAAACCCCTGCTAGCTTATAAATTACAGACTTCTTATTCTTAAACATGGGGAACTAATTTGTAGTTTTATACTCTTTCCTTTGGTTTATTGTTTTTCCTTGTAAAGCACTTCGAACTGCCTTGTTGCTGAAAATGTGCAATATAAATAAAATTACCTTACCTTTAATCAAAGCAGCCTGAATTTAAAGGAGTTAATGCATTTTTTAGTGAGACAGATGAGCAACACATTTTTTAGGTTTAAGATGTGACCAGTCAACATTCGCTGCTCATTCCAGTTCCTTCGAAAAGTGGAGAGAAAACGGTGTCTGGCTTTTTGACATTTCAAAGATCAATATCTAAACAAAATGAAACACGAGGGTGGCAGTGTCAGGATGAAACTAACTGCAGCGAAACTCAATAATGAATGTGACAGTTGTTGTTTCTATCCAGTCTCATTGAGCTTTAGCAATTTTGTTTTGTTTTTCTCCCTGGATGTGCAAAGCTGCTGGTGACACCAAAAGATCTGAGGATCTAACTGCAACCACACTTCAATGTTTTATTTGTAATTTTAAAAAAGTGCCTAAACATGAAAAGGCTGAATGGGATGTGAATACTTTTGGAAAACTCTGAATTAAAAACGACTGATTAAAGGTTGGGAAAAGCTCCTGCCATCTAAAAACATCCACAACGTATTCCTTTATTACACAATGCTTAATCTTTTGTTTCAAGACGAGTCGTATTAATAAAACTTACAAAGTAGTTGGAGAAGGAGGCGACAGTTTCGCAGAGATCAGAATGAGGAGGAACAAGAACAAAGACGCCAGTGTTGCCTCTTGGACGGCGCAGGGCCTCACATTTCATCACCACTTCATCTACAGAAGACGCGGCGGCGTTGAGAAACGGCGGCGGCCGCTGATTGGTGGGGATGTGAATTCCAGCAGATGTGAGGGAGGAAAAGTTGCATCTTTATGCGCTGGCAGCATAAAGATGGCTTTGAATCCAGCTTTGAATCTGACAGTGTTTGACCACGTGGTGGGGTAATGTTTACCCAGGTTTACAGCTGCATCCATACAGTTCAGGTGGCGAACAGGTTTCCTTTGTTTTCCAAGGCTGACCTGAATAGCATCAACGCCGCTGTAAACTACTCATGCATAGTTAAACATCTAAATCTGGCTGAGCTGGGAGTCACATGACTGCTTCCTGAAGGAGAAAGCTGCTGATTTCCAGCACAAACAACAACGCCTCACTTGACTTCACAACACAAAGACCCTGAGATGTGGCTGAATCGTCTGGAGACACTGTGAGCCGTAAATGAGGCAAACCCTAACTCTGCAGGTTTAGCAGCATTTTTGTGCAGCTACTTTAGTCTGTGCGCTACAATGATGATGTATTAGATCACAAAAGTCACAGTTCTGGATTGTGTCCACAATGAGTCAAGCTGCGGGCCACACCCTTTCTAATTTTACAATGTAAAGCTGCTTCGGTGTGCGTTTCTGTCCAAACAGGCATCTCCCCCTCTCAGAGTATTTTGGTCATTTCCTTCCTCCCTGATTAACTTCATAACTTCCTTTTATCACAGCCAGACAGACCTAGATTTGAACTCCGTGGTGATTATGCCAGAGGTTATCGATAGTAAAGAGAAAACATGACGGTTTGCAGCACTGTGAACCTTCACGGCTCAGATCAAGCCTCAGCAGAAACCTGTGCAGATAGAGAAACTCCTTCAGCTTGCATTCCTATCTGCAGAAACCTCAGAGATATTTTGTGAACTCGAGACCCGATGACCTCATTCTCCTCATGATGAAGCAGATTTTTGATCAAAACGTTCCGATCTTTATCTCTTTATCAGCAGGAACACTTTGCTCGGTTTAGCCAAGGAGACTTTTGGAAGTTTTTTTTACACTTTTTAAAGATATGAAAACAGATGTCGCAACTTCCACAAGTCAACACTGTTCCAACTTCCAGTGTTGAAATTATTTCAGGCATTTTGACTATTGCACCCTGTAACACTTTCAGATTTTTCCCTTCAATCTAAAAGTCTTTGTTGTGTCAGTGGCGCCTCACAAAGGGATTGTTAAACTGTCAGGCAAACTTTTCTTTTTACCTAACAAATCATTTGTCAGCCTCTTATTAGCAAAAGGAGGCTGACAGCAAGAAGACCATGAAAGTCTTTTACTTTTAGTTTTTAATTTAAATGGACTATTTTATTAATTCATCAGGTTTCTTCCCACTTCCTGCTGACCAACCAGTGTTGGGTCAGCTCGACAAACACCAGCAGGCCTGAGAACCGGGCGTCTGTTTTCACCTGCCATCTCTGCAGTTTCAGAGCTGCAGCAAACACTCCTCTGTCTCCTACACAGGCCTGTCACAATAGGCAATAAATCAATTTATAGTGTGATAAATGAAAACAAGCTCAACATTTTCCATTATCATTTTCTCCTTTCTGTCTCGTTCTACCAAAGATTAAATGACAAAAATCTTCAGGCTGGCGCTTTGGTCTCAACCAGCTCCTTTCTTTGACGGAAATTTTAGTTTGCAGAGACATTTACGCCTCTTCTTGTTTGTTGTTTTGATTATGTGTTTGTATATCTAAAATGTCTCCCAGTTCCATTGTTAAATGCTCATTGAAATGCAAAGTTTATTTATATGAGTATGTGTTCTTGCATTACTACATTACTCTGAAATTGTCTCAAAACAACAAAATTATCGTTTATCGCAATAACTTCTAGATCAAATTATCATCCAGAAAAATGTAGTTACCGTTACAGGTCGAGTAACGCCGAGTGTGTGTGTGTTTCCGGTCTGATCTCTGTCTTCTCATTTTGCACTCTAAGAACACAGGAAAAATCCCCAAAACGGATCCGACTGCTATGTTTCCCTACACAGCAGGAAACAGAGGTTCGTCTATGTAACTTCAGCTTTTTTGTTCTACAAAGATTAACTTAAATACTAAGTAATATAAATGTGCATTTATACCCACTCATCCCAGTTATTTGGATAGTTGGCATTTAGGCTGTAGAGATTCACTACGACACAAAAAAGAAGCCAAAAGGCATGCAACATGATTTACTACTTGACCCACATCCTGGTAGCAACAATCATTTTATCACCTTTATTTCTTTATAATTTAGAAAAACAGCTCTGCACCTAAAAATCTTAAAACTTTACTCAGAAACGACCAGGCTGAAATCTAAACACCACATCCGCAGCCCAAATAAAACTCTCCTTGTGGAGTTTAGCCAATATGTTTGACCTAGTTTTCTTTTTTCTTTTTTTTTACAGCTCAAGTGAAAACTTCCATAGAGCACAGAGTCAGTCCTCCAGTTTATAGCTGTTCCCTGGTTTAGGTCATGAAGACTGTGTGCAGAGCTTCACTGGGTTTCCAGGGCTGAGCAGCTGCACTCAACCTTACGTCACTCAGTGTTGTAAATGATGTCACCGCTGGGCTACAGCGTTCTCTGGAGGAACAAATCACATTTCTGTCTGATGATCAAACTGTCAAGTCTGGAAGTTGCAGCTGCCAGAAGAAGAGCAACTCTTTTCTGACTGCATCTACGTTTAGCTGGCTGCAGGCGGAGTCATGAGGTGGAGCTCTCCTTCTGGATCTTAGTTCCAGCTAAACCAATTCCTAATATTTCAACAGCTTTTTTTCCACTCTTTGCAACATGACCAGCGCACAAAGCGAGGTCCATCATACTTTAATAAAACTGAAAAGAGTCCCAATTTTTAAGATCATTTAGGGCAGAGATTATGATCCTGGCCTTCTGTCCCACATCAGTGTCTGACCTCAGAAATAAGGAATGACCTTTGCTTTCTGGTAGAAGGTCAAGCATTTCCACACAAAGAGCTTCACCTTTTTAAGGCCTACTTAAAGAGGTGAGGCTGGTGACTCAATATGTTTGCAGTATAATGCATATATAAACATGGTTTTGGAAAAGGAGGGGCAAGAACTGCCACCAATTGATCACAGCTCAATAAATATATAAAAATTACATTTATGTGCACAATAAAAGTTGCTTTAAAGTATGAATTATCTAATAAGTGCAATATTCACTGACTGTTAGATTTGGCTTTGCTGCCAAGAAAACTTTACACCTACCAGAGCCATAAAAACGTATCACAGCTTAACTTTATCAGAGTTACTTTAAAGTGTTTTTATTTTTAATTCATGGACATTTGGTAACAAACTTTCTTTACATTGTCCTGCAGTAAATATATTCACGTAAACAGTTCTGCAGGTTCTGCCCTGCTGCCTTTTCTGTTTTTGTTGAACAAAACCCAGCAAAACATCTGAAAACAAGTTCTGGTTGGTTTAAAAATAGCTAGAGGTCATTAGTTTTACATCACTGAGACATTTTACATATTTATTAATAAGCTTATTTGCAGAAATGTGAAATTCTCTATTGCTTAAGGGGACTATTTTATTGTTTTAAGACTGATTAGAAGGTTGAAAATGATCGCTCCAAACAGAAACAAACACCTTCCTTTGTGAGAGCCGTCACGGTCCCACCCTCCCAAACCAAAGCACGCTCAGAGATTACTCCGACTTATCAGTGTGGAGGTGTGGCGGCGAGATGACCACTCTGCTCTCTGGCCAAGGTTCACTCAAAGCATGCCACAGTAATGCAGTCAGGCTGTTGCACGGCGAAAGCAAGCGCAAACCTCTTGAGAGGCAAAAAGCAAGCAGAGGAAAGTTCTCCGTTCTCACGCTCTCACTGTCGGACTTGGGATCAGATCCGCAACACAAACAAAGCCTGTGTGAGAGCCACCTACAGCAAACACCCACACAGCCTGCAGCGACCGTAACTCACACTGCCTCCTTTAAAAATGTCTGCCACCTTTCAGCAAGCTAATAATTTTATGGGCTTTTTATTAGCAGCCGTGTGTCTCCGCTCGGCTCGGCTGGTGTGTGTTTCTGAGTGTTTTCTCCTGGATCGGCCGAGCTAGCAGAATGCTCTGATGCTATATTTGAAGCAAATGTGAAGCAGATGTTTGTGTATTATTAAATCCACACGCCCTTCGATCATGATTGCATAACTGGACCTGATGATAAAAGGCACAAATCTCAGATTCTTCATCTTGGAGCTAAAGAATCAAAATGTGGGGAGAACGAAGAGGCTTCCCAGTTAGAGTAATTTAGTTTTCTTCAATTAAAGGTTTAACTTAACTTGATTTAATAAAGCTTGAGCTGCCTGAATCGGACCGGTGCGGCTTACTGTGGAATGTCACTGTGAGAAACTTCAGACTTACTGTGTCTGCAGTTTTTTCCTCCTTTTTTCCATCATTTCCTGCAAGCAGAGTCAACCTGAGGACCCTCCTCTGGAAAAAAAGGACATTCAGAAACACACTGCAGTGAGAAAATGTTATCCTGAAACAATCCAGAGTCACCAACATCTCTGCCGTTTATTTATAGATGATGAATGGCAAACAAAGTTTATGTAAATGATGCATGTGAAAATGTCAAAAAGCAACATCTGTCATGCCACGTACAGCATAGTAATGCTCTGTTATGGTTAATTTCCAAGCTAAAAGGTTAGCAGTTAATCCTGCTTATTTTTTGCCATAATAAAAAAACCCTGCAGCATGCAGCATTTAGATTACACTGCAAAAACATAAACTCTTACCAAGAATTTTACTGCAAATGTAGTACACTTGAAACAAGGCAAAACTAACTTATAAGTAATGTTTAAGCAAGATATGGGAACTTGTTTCAAGCCAACAACGCCTTGATATTGATCAAAAAGTATGAGATTATTTCACTCCATGTTTTAAGTGAAACAATCTACAAGTGGGATAAATACTTTTTCATCGATATCAAGAAATTACTGACATAAAACTAGCTCCAAACTTTACTTGTAAACTAGTTTTCTCTTATTTCAAGTGTACTGAGCTATTTGTACTGTAAACCAGACCAAAAACACAGAGTAAGATTTTGTGGTTTTGCACTGTAGAAATTAAAAACTGGCTTATTTTATCCAAGAGGCGTTGAAATAAACATGACATCCCTGCCTCCTGCCCACTGGGCTCCCATTACAGGCTTGTGCAACCGAGCACATCCAGCAGCAAACCATAACCCACCAACCCTGAGAGTCAGGGGGCTGTAGATGTAGCTGAGAGAGACTCAAACAGGAGGGAGGAGAAAAGCGCAGAAAACTGAAGAACAGAGGGAGAGTTTCATCTTTCTTACCTCGCTGGAAGGAGTTGCAGAGTCCTCTGTGGTGGTGGTGGTGGTGGTAACCCTTGGTCTTGAACCGTAGCGAAGCATGTCTCCTCTACTCTCTAGTCCTCGCTTGTCTTCGTCTCCCTCTCTCCAGCCCCCCGTCTCTCCCACCCTTCCTCTCACTCTCCTTCCTGAGTTCCGCTCAGGCTCTCAGTCCGACCATCTGCCCCCGGCTCCAGGCAGGGAAATTCCTCTCAGTCAAGCCTACAGAGGGAGTCCACGGGGCCCCAAGGTCCAAAGGTCCCCTACCTCTACTCCTGATTCACCCTGTCTTAGTTAATGTCTGCTGCTGAGACTGTACGTCAGTCACCTCCCCTGCCTCTCTCTGGCAGCGTGTCTGTGTTCCCATCAGACCTGTCGGGCCACATTTCACCTGTCTCCCTCTGCTGCGCTCCTCCTGCCCCGAGAGCTGGACTTTCACAGGGCGGGTCCTCCGCGGGGCTGGGGCAGGTGGAGCGGCGCTTATCAGATACATGTGGCCAGCAGGAGGGGCTGAAGCGGCGGCGGAGCCTTTCATAATATTAGAAAACTTATTCAGAGTGGCACATTAACAAAAAGAATCAACATATTTTCAATTTATTCCAGTTGTGTTCATCTAAATAGCAGCAACACATCTAATATTACCTCACTTTATGAGTCGAAGAGATCCAGAAGTACACAATCATATACTCACATTAGCGCTGGACAATCAACAATATATATTGCGATAGACACGTGATCAACATCAATAGATAGTAGAAAATAGATAAAACATTCAATAATTTCACTGAACTTCGAACCAGAGCATTCTGGAGGATGTAGGG